ATGAGAAAAGCATAAGTGCTCTATGGACGATGTGTAAAACTGGTTACAGAAAAGCATATTGATATTGCCTACAACTTGCCTATAAAAATACATATTTTTTTGGCATAAGCATATATTTATTTACCCCACAATCGAGTGACCACTGTAGTTCGTAGGTGGGAGTAGAGAGAATAAGGAAGGCCTGGAATGCAAATTACTATTATTACCGGACAATTGCCCTGTGCTGTGCGAGTGGGTGCATTCAAAATATTTGAAACACCACCCGAAAGGGAAATCTGAATGGCACAAAAATCTGGCTGATTCATCCCACTCTAAATTATTGGGCTCAGACAATCAGCAAACAGAAATGGGGTGAGATTTATCAATTGGACCACATGTTCTTGCCCAGTTTTTCTATATTGTATTGCTCGTCACGTCTCTGCAGCTTCCTCTGCAATTAAGACTAAGGGCTAGGGGAAAATATACAGTCCAACCTCTATAAGCAAGTGCTTCCTTAAAGTACATATATATTATATATTATCCTAACAAACCTATGTAATAGGTGTGGTATTAAAATAGCTTTTATTTAGCTGATATTACTTTTCCTTGGTAGTTATTGGTAGTTTCTGGTAGTTAAAGATATATGTATTTTTATTAATGATATTTAAATACATGCTGGTTCGCATTACCGATGTTGGACTGTATCAAGTGGCCAAAGCTAAGAGGCCATAATCCTCCTTCCGATTGTCTGTGCTTCATCCGGGGTGCCGGAATCAGCCCGAGATGTAAGAAAGCCCCTGAGTCATCCATCAATCGCTGGACTAACCCTCAGAGCCAGTGCCTCCATCACCCTTCTCTGGAGTTCCAGGTGCACTTGCTGGATGGATAATCATCTCGTGGGGAATTGCTGTGCACCAGCTCCATTTGCCGATTAGCAGACAGTCCACCAGACCACCAGAGCACCAGAGTACCGCACGTGGTAACGCTCGTCGGCACCATTTGAGTTATTGTGGAATTCTTATGCTACTTCGTAATTACTTATCAGGCACTGCACCACAGACCCACTGGCGTGTGTTTTCTAATCTGGACCAGGAGAAAGGCCATTAAAGCGAATGTCCAGCTGGAACGGAGTGCAAACTGCTTTGTGTAATGGTCGTCCAATGGCTATGCAGGTGGTAATTTAGTTTAATTGTTTCTACTGGCTTCGTAACCTGCTTTGAATGGTGGTCGTATGGTAACAAATTGATAAAAGTCGAAATAAAAAATGTAAGATTATTATAACACAAGTAATTCCTAGAATAGCATAATTTGGGCTTTCAATTTTGTATACATTTTTGGCTGTACCACCCTAATGTATTTTTGCCAGTTCTTTTGATCTGGAAACATTATCTCTGCAAACGGATCACCGTTACTTCTTTGCACCTGCTCTTTCGCCTTCCAGTACGAAAACCCCCGTAAGTCTCCAAAATCCAGATGAATGGAGAAGTGCAAAGAGATGGCGAGGGATCCAAGAATATTGGACCACTTTCCACCAAGCGATGGCCGCAGTCACAAGTGAATTCCCCAGCAAGCCGATCAGTTGTACCAGCACCAATACATCCGCCAAATCCAATTATCTAAAGTCCGTGAAAAAACGGGTGACCACGTGTTTCCAGCAGTTGCGCGAAAAACTCCAGGCATCCGGTTCCTTTCGCAAGAGTTCCCCCAGCCGCCTCTACAAGATCTTCGTAAAGGCCGATTTCGCCGCCTGTGGTGAACGGTTTCAGAGGATCTTCAAATCGGCGCGAAAGACCCAATCGCCGGAGTTGTGGAAGGTGCCATTGGCCGCCCATGACCTCACCAACGGCCGGCAGACCAGCCAGCAGTTGCGAATCGTAGCCAGACTCTTCTCATCCACTCAGATTTCCACCAAGGAAATCACCTACAGCACCAGCAACAACAACACCAGCAGCTATAGCTTCAGGAGCCGGAAAAGCGAGAGCTGCAGGAGCAACATGACCATTATCGAGAGCAACTATATAGCCGTGCGCGAGGATTATCCCGACATAGATGTCGAGGTGCGCGCCATATTGCTGAGCCACGCCCAGAATGGAATCACGATATCGAACATCAAGAGTGAGTAGCTTTATGATTTCTCAAGCGCTCTTCAGGAGAAATCTTTCCAGAAGTTTCGACCTCCCGAAATACTTCGGAACTATCTCAAAATGGTTAGGAAACTTAAGTTATGTAAAATATTATCCATCTAGTTCTTAAGTAAACACGTGTTAGGGAAGTATAGCCATATGGAAGTATACACTTTAACAAATTCCATTATCGAAATCAACCAGGTGAATATCGGAAACTGACGGGCAATCCGTTTCCACTGCACGACAACGTGACGGACTTCCTGCTGACCATACCCAATGTGACCGCCGAGTGCAGCGAGTCCGGGAAGCGGATCTTCAACCTGAAGGCGAACCTGAAGAACCATCACCTCCTGGAGATGGTGCTCAACCAGAAACAGCGCACCGGCAGCAGCGACTACAGCAGCGGAGCTCCATCCGTGGAGAGCATGCCGCGTGCACCACCACGCTACTGGAAGAATCCCTTCAAGCGGAGGGCTCTGTCCCAGCTGAACAACCTGAACACCGAGTCCAAGATTACAGATGAGCAGACCCAGGAGACCTCCACCAGACCGGCTTCGCTGCACCAAATGGCCAATGAGGCAGCGGAGTCGAACTGGTGCTACCAGGATAATTGGAAGCATCTGTAAGTACTGGAAGTGTGTTTGCCTGGAAACCATTACAACAAATAATAATTACTAATTAAAATTACAAATAAAAATGACTAACCTTCTTGTTACTGCATTCCTAGCAACAACTTCTACCAGCAAGCCAGCGTAAATGCGCCCAAAATGCCAGTACCCATCAATATCTACAGCGATGCCCCGGAGGAACGCATCCAAGTGGATGCACCTGGGCATCAGCCCAGCTGCAGAACCCAAAACCAGAAAACCCAACACCCGACTGAAAACCGCCACTTGGGCATCTTTGTGCATCCATTCAGCGATATGAACGTAATGAAGAGACGCCACGAAATGACGCCCACGCCCACGCCCACGCCTACGACCTTATCGAGTGGAACCTACGCCGATTCCCTGCTGACGATCAACTCGGATTACGATGCCTATCTGTTGGACTTTCCACTGATGGGCGATGATTTCATGCTGTATCTCGCCCGAATGGAGCTTAAGTGCCGATTCAGGCGCCACGAGCGAGTCCTTCAATCAGGACTTTGTGCATCCGGACTGACGATCAATGGCGCCCGAAATCGTTTGAGGAGAGTCCAACTACCCGAGGGCACCCAGATCATCGTCAATATCGGATCGGTGGACATTATGCGGGGCAAGCCATTGGTTCAGATCGAGCACGACTTTCGGCTGCTGATCAAGGAGATGCACAGTATGCGTTATGTGCCGATCCTCACAAATCTGGCGCCGCTGGCAAACTATTGCCACGATAAGGTTTTGTGTGACAAGGTCCACCGATTCAACAAGTTCATCCGAAGCGAGTGCTGTCACCTGAAGGTCATCGACATACACTCCTGCCTGATCAACGAACGGGGCGTTGTGCGCTTTGATTGCTTTCAGAGGTAAGACTGCACATTACATAATTAACACTATGTAAATGCCAATTTTCAGCTCGCCACGCCAAGTCAGCGGTTCCAAGGAACCCTATCTGTTCTGGAACAAAATCGGTCGGCAGCGCGTGCTGCAAGTCATTGAAACGAGTCTGGAGTATTAAGTTGGGCTCTTAATCCAGATATATACACATTTTGACTGGGCTGGCTCCGGAACCAAGCATTATAAAATGTTGATGATTTTACGATTTACGCTAATGGATCGCTTTCGCTTTTACGGAATTCGCTTAGTTTTAACATGTTTTATATGTATGTCCCTGTCTTTGTTTATATGTTCGTGCGCTTGTCCTAGTCCATTATTGTATATTATTGTGTTTTGTGTTCTCTGTTAGATTTTAACTTCTCTATTTTTTGGCTGCCTGTGATTTATTTTGCCAATGCCATTGATTTTCTGCACACTTTTTGCTGCTGTCCCAAAAGCTGTGTGAAATAATCGAATGCAAAATAGGTGCAGGCAGCTGAAAACTTTTCCTCAAACTTTTCCGCTTTTCCCAAACCATTTTGCCTTGAGATCTGTTTTCACAAAATCAGATTACAATGCGAAATGGAATTTAAATGCAAATCATTGCAATGCTTATAAACTGTTTTTTGTTCTATATATATTTTGTGGGCCAAAATACGTCATGCTCCTGTATCGCAACCTGCCACTTCCCCTTAATCATATGGGCGGAGTGGGCGTGGTCCGTATACATATGAGCCATGCTGCATTTTGGCCGTAATGAAAATGCACTTGCTTTACTTGGAAAATTCGCTTGCACAAAATCAACGCCGCGGCTGATTTACTATTAATGTGCTCAAGCAAATTCAAGTGAAGCATTTGCGCGATTTTCGTCTTCCTGTTTCCGTTTGCAAAAAAGTTTATAAAATGCTTACACTCTGCTGCAGACACGCCACCGGATGTGCGCACTAAGCGCTTGTTTGTAGCACAGTGTAGAATTCTGTTGTAACCTACAGCTCTACTTTAAAGTCTTCTAGATAGCTATCTACTATTTATAAACTTATCTATGTCTTGAATGTATGTTAATTGTATGTATTGATGGTGATCACGTTTTTTTTGTCCTATAACAAGCTGCAATGTAAAATCCAAAAAAAAATGAAAAAATAATAAATCAAGGGAAAACTACTATTTTTAGTTTTAACCTAAATTACTAGGTTTTGGGAACAAATGACATCCGTGTAAGTAAAAATTTTCTTAAAAAATAATTTTAAAGAGCGTAAAAGATTATAAAACGATAGATGAAAGCCAAATTAGTTTCCATTAAATTTTAAAAGTTCCCGCCAAATTGGTTTGAGCCATTGCTAATCCAGCACAGTTTTCCACCTGATGCGGAGTTAGCGATAGTTTTTCGGCCTTTTCGATTGTAAAAGCATAAAAAAGTGCATGGTATCGAAGCTTTACCACCTCCATCAGCAGGCGACGGCAAAAAAATCTTGAAATGTAAGCAGTAACGTCAAAATTCGCTTTGAAATCACTAAACGTACGTTTCCAAACGATTTCAGAACAAAATGGCTTCATTCTTGGCACGAACTGGCGGCCCCCTTATCGAAACCGTTAGGCCAGCGGCCGTGAAAAAGGTGAGTTCGCCAATTAGTGCTCATATTTGTGTGTAAAAATGCAAAAATCCGTTGCTTTACATAATAAGGCGAAAAGAGAGAGGTGAACCCCTACGCTCTCCCTTTCTCACTCTCTCTCTCTCTTACTCACACATGCGAAATGCATGATCGTTTATCGGTAAAAAAAAGTCTTCAACTATCGCGCTAATTAAGTTCCAGTAAATTGTTAACTAATTTTCCCCAGAGAAACGCGGAGTGCGTGAGATTTAAAGGGAGTCACGATCGGCAAAGACACCTGACTTTTATTGTATCAGTGTGACGCAACTCTGCGCTTTTCGTACGTGTGTGTGGGTGTGAGGGGACCTTGAAGCCATTTATTCCCCTACTTAATTTAGTTTGTTTTTTTTTTTTATCAATGAGCGGCTGACAACTGTTGCTTATCGTTTGTGGTTGTTGTTGTTGTAGCCGGGCCCTCTAATTAAATTCTTAATCTGTGAATTAGTTTTGGTTATCACCGGGAAACGCCGTTAGCCGGACGAACTTGCTCTTAACCCAGATTTCGTCTTTTCCTCGCTTTTTGTTTATGTTTTTTGCGGATGAATCACCGAACCAGTTTTTTGTATGTTTAATTTTTGCTTGGCAATGACCTCGTGACTGGAATTAAGGTTTCATTTATGAGATTCATTTATGTGTAATCAGTTCTGAAATGTTATTTATTTGTTGACTCTTTAAATATACTTTAAATTGAGTTTTAAAAATAGTTTAAATTTCTGAAAAATCTAAGCAAATGAAAGAGAAATACCCATTTTATAAATACAATTTTTCATCCTTAACTACCACCTAATTTTGGCATACTAACATGGCAAACTTCAACCTTTTCAGATTCTTGGCCTGGCTCCCATCGCCGTCCAGCAGCTGAGGAACCTCAATGTCCAGGAACACGTTTCATACAGTCTCCTTAATGAGGCCAAGATCCCAACACCTCGGTGAGTAAACCCAATCGGAATTATCAAAATCGCGGGCAAACAACCAACAATTTGCGTCAAAGTCGCGGTCCAAAGTTCAATAAAAATGCCGCGTTGTCGTTGCGTCGACTGTTTCTTTGGTTTGTGTTCATTTTGGACTTTGTCTGAACTTAATAATTTGCATTGAGTAGCCGACTACGGGGTAAACAAACCAGAGAAACGCAGCCGCCGATGATAAGGGTGATAACAAGTTTTATACTATACCCCACTTTGATCGGCGTAAAGTGACAAGGGTCAGTGACGTGGGTTTTTATAATATGTTGGCGGAAAGATTGTCGGCAGTAGTTTACGTCTGTCATAAATACATAATTTCGGCTTAAAACAATATATTTTAATGGTAAATATACCTGTAAATTCAACAATTGTTTGTAATTGCTTGTTTAATGTTGATTGATAGAACCAATTGATACGAATTGATTTAGCGATTATTCAGGTAAAATCATGCGACTGTTTTATGTTCTAAAAGTGGGCTTGTCATCTCTCGAATGACCGAATAACCTTGTCTTAATTTTCACCCTTTGTGGTCTACTGATAAGAAAATGTACGTGAAATGTTCTTATCAACGATTATTCAGGGGCATCATTAACAGAGCCCCCGAAATTATTTCCCCTACTAAGTGATTCATTACTTTTGCAGTTTCGCTGTTGCCAAGAACGGCAAGGAGGCCAACGATATTGCCACCAAGCTGAAGACCGACAACCTGGTGCTGAAGGCACAAGTTTTGGCCGGAGGACGTGGCAAGGGAACCTTTAAGAATGGCCTAAAGGGAGGTGTGCGTGTGGTCTACGAGTAAGTTGTGTTATATTAGATATTTGATCGATAGATTAGTAATACATATATAACCAATCCTATTCTGCAGCCCCCAGACCGCTGAGGAACTTTCCAGCAAGATGATCGATCAGCTTCTGGTCACCAAGCAAACAGGAGCAGCCGGTCGTATCTGCAAGAAGGTGATGGTGGCCGAGAGGAAGTTCCCCCGTCGTGAGTTCTACTTCGCCGTGATGATGGAGCGTGCCTTTAACGTAAGCCTTATAATCATTTACATGATCCTGTGAAGCTATAAAAGACGATTGAATTTCCAGGGTCCCGTCCTGATCGCCTCCAAGGAGGGTGGTGTTGATATCGAGGAGGTGGCTGCCAGCAGTCCCGATGCCATTCTGTACGAACCCATCGATATTGGCACTGGTTTGACCACTGAACAGGCCGAAAAGATCGTCAAGAAGGTTGGTCTGGGCGGTGATGGCGAGGACACACATGTCCAGATGCTGATGAACCTGTATGACCTGTTCGTCAAGAAGGATGCCCTCTTGGTGGAGATCAATCCCTATGCCGAGGATGCCATGTCCGGCTGTAAGTTTGGTTATATATATTTTCCTTGGTGATGTGTTGTGTTCTAAATCTAATGTCTGTCTCATCCTAACAAAATAACTCATTTGTGAATGTCATTGTACTGGATTTCATGTTTTCTGTCCAGGCTGTAAGTATATTTCACCAATATCAAGCTTATTAACCCTGCTGCTCATTTATTAAACTATGTTTAAACTTTCCTCAATAATTTTAAACCATTTTAATTGCTTTTCCGCAGTCTTCGCATTGGACGCCAAGCTGCGTTTCGATGACAATGCCGAGTTCCGTCAGAAGGAGCTGTTTGCGCTCCGCGATTGGACCCAGGAGGACCCCAAGGAAGTCGAGGCTGCCAAGTACAATCTGAACTACATTGCCCTAGACGGCACCATCGGCTGCATGGTGAACGGAGCCGGTCTGGCCATGGCCACCATGGATATCATTAAGTTGTACGGTGGCGAACCGGCCAATTTCCTGGATGTCGGTGGTGGTGCCACTGCCGAGGCGGTCAAGGCCGCCTTTAAGATTATCACATCCGACCCGAAGGTGCTTTGCATTCTGGTCAACATCTTCGGTGGCATTATGCGATGTGATGTCATTGCCGAGGGCATCATTTCCGCCACCAAGGATCTGAATCTGAACATGCCCGTGGTGGTGCGTCTTCAGGTGAGTTTTGAGGGATACATTTATCTGAGTTTCCGGGATTTGCTCAATACTCAATACTGTTTGCCTTGCAGGGAACCAAAGTCAAGGAAGCCCGTGAATTGATTCGCACATCTGGACTGAAAATTCTGGCCCGCGATGATCTGGACAAGGCTGCCGATCTCGCAGTGCACTTGGCGCAAATCGTTAAACTGGCCCGCGAAATGAAGATGGACGTGAACTTCGAGATTCCCGATGCCCAAAAGTAGATACCGCCATCAGTTACCGGCTAAGTCAACACTCATAAGCACACGCAGACACAAACGAAAGTCGACAAAAAAGTAGAACCAAAACCTAACATTAACTCTAGCCACACGTAAACTACTCAATGATACTATGCCATCGGTTTGTAGTTAGAGCATTATGTATTCGTAACGATCGGTCGAACAATTGATGAATTAATTTTGCAAAAATGTTAAGTTTAAAGCTGTTTAAAGACCTAAGGATATGTCATAGATAATTCGAATAATCGAGCAAGTTGAGTGTTCTCTTTGCACCTAAACAATTTCTATATTGTATCTTAAATAGTCAACATTAATTGCACGTAAATAATAGAAAATGGAAATGAAAATACGTTTTAATTGTGATTTTTGCAAAATATTCATTTAAATTTTATTTATTGAAATGCGACACTGCTTCCAAAGCAGATCCATCATCTTGTGTATTATGCTATTTAGTTTGCTTTAAATTAAAACACCAAACAATCTTAAACGGAACCGCCTTTTACGTTCTTCAAAGACTGCTTGAAATATTACTCTTAAGTTCATTTTGAAAATTTTTCCTACTAACTTTAATCACTGCACCTTAGGGGTAAGGGCGATTGCAAGAAAGGTCAGAAGAAGGCGGACAGTAAGAAGTCAGAAAAGAAAGATGACAAGAAATCTGATTGCACAAAGAAAGAGGAAAAGAAAAAGGAAGAAAAGAAAGACATTTGCGCAAAGAAAGAATCGTCTGACACGAAAGGTAAAAAGTAAAGGTAGACAAGTTTTGTAATAAACAATGCAGGATCGAGCCGGATGTGTTTAAAAGTTAAACCATCAATGAGAAGGAAGCCATTGTTGAAATTCAAAATCCAAACTTGCCACAAGCGTTTCATTGTTAAAATTTTTACTCTCAAATTTCAGATGTAAACTTCTGACCAAATTATTCCCACGACATTTTTAAAGATTTTCGTAATTGTTATGTTTTGTTTATTGTGGGTTGAGCCTTAGAAACGATCGACTAGGGATAGTATGTGGGTCTGCTCCTGTTCCCGCCAGTCGGTGTCTCCATCGCCCAGGTTGCCAGCGTATTCTGTGAATGAATTTGGCATTTAATATTTGATTTTAATTGGGCCTTCTAGTTGTGTTATACCCCTCATGATGCTGCGAATGGTCTTCATGGATGCTCCGCGCAAGTTAAGTATCTGCAGCACACGCTGCTTGACGGTGTCGCCGGTGGCGCTGACCTCCAGCAGGATGTAGTCGATGCGCTGCAGCGTGAACAGACCGCCAGTCAGTCGTTTTATATAGTTATTCTCCGCCTCCTCGTCCTCATCAATGCTGGGATCCTGTGGCATGATATGGATTAGTTTGTAATTACAAGTAAAGCTGCAATAGTTACCTTAGCCTGCTGATCGATCTCCTTGTCTATGGCCTCCACCTTGGCCAGATACTTGAGGTGCAGCTCCAGCAGGCGATCCACCTTCTCGTGATCATTCTCGGTGAACTTGGCCAACATTCGCTGGCGGTGTGTGCCCTTGCAGTTTCGCAGCATTGACGCAATTACGGAGGTCACATGCTCCTCGTGCTCATCGGCGGATATCAGGCGCTGCTTGTTGCGCTTGGGGGTTTTCATGAACAGTGGGAAAATGGTGCGCAAGCCGAGGATCTCGACAAACTTGTTGCAGTTGTCCCTTCCATCCTGCCCAGCCATGGCGTGATCCAAAACCTTAAGCGATCCATTTCTGGACATTTTCTTCTCGCGCAGCATTAGGTTCATCAGCTGCAGACCCTCGCCGCTGAGGAAACGATCGCGATTCTCGCGGGCCATCAAGGCGGAACAAAGGCAATTGAAGAGGTTCTGCATGTACTCCTGCTCCTCGTTGCTGGCGGGATCATGTCTTTTGTAGACAGCCAGCTGTTGGAGTAGCACATCCACTCCATCCAGAGAGCCCAGCAGTAATCGGTTCTCGTTCTCCGTTTGTATAAGTATGGAAAGTATCTCGCTGCAGTACAACTTGTTGGGATCGAAGGGCGACTTGCCGCGCAGGCGTTTCAGCAGCCAGGCGAGTAGTCCCTGCTCAGCGGCCTCCTTAACGAATTCCGAATCGATTTCGGTGAGGTTCTCCACAATGGCCAGCGTATTATGCACGCCATCGGCTTCCTCCTTGACCTGTTCGTTCAGTCGCTCCAGATTCTGGACGAGCAGCGCACAGATTTGCTCTTTTCTCAGCGCTTCTATCAGGGATTCGGCGCCCTCCTGACTTTCGCCCAGGATATCAACATCGGTCACTTCCTGCAGTAGATCTACAACGGCCACGGCTATGTCTGTGTTTTGATGTGCCAGCAATTCCAGCAAGCTGTGCAAGCCGTGCAGTTCCACGAGAATGGGATACAGATCGGGCACCGTGGCCACGCCCTTCAGTTCCTGGATTACTGTGTGCAGCTCCACCTCCGAGTCCATGAACTTCTCGGCACTGTCGGCGAACTTGATGCGCATCTCCTGGTTCTTCAAGTTACGTTTCTCAAACACCAGTATCAGTTTCTTGAGACTCTGCTCATCCAGCACATCGCCATCGGCCTCCTCGTTCTCCACGTACTTTAGGATGTTCAGGCGCTCCTCCTCCGTCAGTTCTGGGTCGAATTCGAAGGCGGAGGTGCCGCTGGCGCCGCTGGAGCCTCCACTTTGCTTGCCATAGTGTGCGGACTCCTTGGCTTCGGCGATGCGCCGCATGCGTTTGATTTTCTCATCGCCACCGCCCCGTTTTGCGTGCGAGCTCTCCAAATCGAAGTCGTCGTCCTCGTCCTCGTGCGGGCGCTTGGGCGTCTGTTCCGGCTACAGTTTGGAATGGTCAGTCGTATGGATATTACTGGTAGCATCTATATATTCACCTTAAACGCCAGCAGTTCGCCGATGTCCATTTTTGCGGGCCTTAAAAAACAATTAGAGCTGGCACTTACGACGATTCCTACCCGATACTATCGAAAGTGAGCCGCACGTGAATGTCGGTGCGGAACCATGATAAGCTGGCTTAGCGAAGACTCTAACCGTTTAACCCTTACAGGGTGTCATATATATTTTGCTTCAACTTTAAATTAATTCATAATTCTGATAAACACATTATTTGTGTGTAGCGCTCAGAAAGTTAATGTTTTGGTCTATATTGCTATTACTTACTGAAATAAGATAATGCAATATTAAATATAGATCATGTATGTTTTCAAATTACAAGCCCCAAAAAATATTGCTTTTAGAAATATCTAAGCTCTTTAAATTTAAATAGAAATTGGGGAAAATTAAATAATACAACACATTTTTAAGCCATGTAAGACTTATATTTTCTACTGCATAATTAAATTTATTAATTAAACAGAGTTTAAGAGTTTAAGATTAAGAGTTTACTTTTAAATTTAAGAACCTATAATATGGCTTAATATTTTTTTAAATAATACCTATGTATATATTTAAATGAAATTTAATAATAGCTTGTACCCAAAAACTATTACTTGCGGCTCAGCCCATGCCCACCCAGCCTCCCAAAAAGGGGCTTTTGACTGTTTTAGCCCTGCGCCTGCAACTATGACGACGAGTTTACATAAATTCCTAAAGGCCAAGCCCCAAAAATAAATTTACAACTGCTTTAAGCTCTGGCAATTCAACAAGTTGTTCGGCTCCATGGGTGTGTGTGTGTGCCTGTGCAAGTGAGTGTGCGCTGGTGTGTGTGCTTTCTTCGAGCCAGTCTTTTTTCAAGTCAGTTCGTCAGCGTGATTTGGCGTTGTTGTTGCTGCCTTTGCAGTTGCCATTGGTAGTGGTATTGGTATTAGTATTGTTGCTGTGGCTGCTGCCGCTTTTTTTTTACTTTTTTCTGGCTTGTTTCATGCTGACCCACTTTTGGTGGCAATACGTGAGCCCGAACAGTGGGCCTAAACCTTAGAGAAAGCCTCGTTCTCAAAGAGCTTTAATGATTATAGATAATCGCATAAGAATAATTTCAAATATTTGTTGTTACAATTCCTCTACAAGTGTATAAAATATTTAATCCAAAATATATAGCAATTGCTGGTTGGAATTTATGCATGCTGGCCACACGGTGCCGGGCAAAAAAGTCATAAACTGAATTGCCAACAGGTTATGGCGACTACCACGAAGACGACGGATGGCTTGGTTGCTGTTTTTGTTGCTGCGGCTCGACTGCGGAGTAGTAAAAAGGGCCATGACAGTGACACTTTGAAGTTTGAGGTTAAATCGTCAATGTTGTTGCCTTGGTCTTGCTCTCTGGCTGCATTGGTTGCTGTGGATGTGGATGTGGATAAGGATGAGGCTGTCTGTCCAGCATATTTCGTGCGGCATTATTGTGTTGTGCCTGGCCTCCTCAGATGCGGCTCATTTTGGTGTTATTGTGCATCGTATGCTGCCTGGCACTGCACTCCATTCAAAAGACTTAGGCAGCGAACTTGCCAAGAAATTACTTTGAACTCACGCATGCTCGCACGTTTTTTATGTTTTTCTTATTAATTATTTTGTTTTTGTTTTTTGCCTGCTGGCCCGCATCTACTCACACACGAGCTCGGATTTGAAAAGTGAAATTTCAAAGTAGAACAAGCGGCAGCGGCAGCAACAACGCACGTTTAGAGGTTCCAATAAAAATGGGGTCACTTGTCGTTGGCCAGTCGGTTGAAGTAAAGCCCCCCTCCCGAGAGCCCCCCGACCAGCCCCAACTCGGAACCCCACTGACCATTGATCGCATAGATCACGCGCCGTCTACTCATGTTGTTGTTGCTGTAGTTGTTGCTGTAGTTGTTGCTGTGGTTGTTGCCGTTGTGCATTGTAAATTAATTGCAGTCGCGTCGCGTCTGTTTTGGATTTTTTGGCTTGAACCGTTCTCAGCCAGTTTTAGGCCATCCATCGTGTGTGCCATTAAAATGCAACACGAACTTGACAACGAAACGGAATAAATGGTGAAATATTTCTCTTCGAGCTTAAAGACTTTCCCTGTGACTAGATATATGCAATAAGTTCTGTTAAAAATTTTGGACAACTCGTTTGGTTAACTGACTTAAACCATTGCATTGTATATTTAAATAAAATTTCCCTTTGGATGTGTATCTTGTGTATTCTTGCCTTTGATCTTGTTACAATAACTTAAAAACCAGTAGCCTTCTACATTTTTGGATCGTAACAATAATCAAGTTTAATTGCGTATTTCATAAGATATTCGTTGTGCACTGTTTGCTTTTGCTGCTAATTAAAGTTTTCTGCAAGCTGCAAGGAGAACAAAAAAAAAAAAACAATAATAAAACCAGAACAATACTTAAATGTTAATAATTGATTATAGTGTTATTACAGACATGAGTTTTTCTCGTTAGAATCTTGGTCAGCGGATCGGCGAGGCGTGAATAAGCGCAGTGATTGTTGCAAAATCAAAAGTTGCACTTCGGCTATGAATTACATTTTTTAATTGCCGAAAATGAGCGAGTGCATAAATTATGAAAATTGCGAAATTTCAGGCCAAACGAGTCCATGTATGGATCTTCAGCTCCTCCACTTCCGGCACGCGATCCATTTCCGTTCTGCTTTGCAGCTCTGCTGCTTCCTGCCTTCCCCCCTCCTACCACCCTCGCCCGTCCACCTTGCATCAATCAAAGTCTCAATCAAGAGCAAAAGTAATCAAAACTAATAGCAACAAGAAGGGGGTAGGGGGAAACACAATCCGAACAAATAAAGCCAAGCACACACAAATCATGGCCGTAAACAAAAAGGGAAGAAGTCGGGGCGCGACAAGAGCAAATAAGGCAAAATCGTTAGAAATAACAATATGTGTGTGTGTAAAAAATGGCATGGCAGAGGCGACAGCAACAATCCCATCGAATGGGCCACAAAACACAAAAAATAACAAACAAACAACAATACACACACACACAAAATAGAAATGGAGAGCAACTTTCACCCAAGGTCATTGTGTCTTTAACTGCGCC